TATATATATATATAAATAATCTATTTTAATTTTTTATATGAAAAGCTTTGCTATTGCTGTTACTTTAACCCTTTGCGGACAGAACTATATGTTCATTTACAATTAGTACAAAACTGACAAAAATAGCTTAAGGTGTATGTATTTCCAGAGTCTGGATTTCCAGAGTGGCTAATGTAGACAAATGAGAATGACGACGTGCACGCTGGATATATGTCGACATGTGTCGCACAGCAAAATCAAAGTGTGGCAATGGAATAATATCTCTGCTTGTGTCCCTAAAGGGTTAAATATTGTTGATATATCATAAATTTTGTTACAGAATGTCATAGTCTAATCGTCCTTTTGGTCTTTACATTTATTTGCGTAGGTTGCAATGGCTACAGGACAAGTAATATTCCAACGATTTTATTATAGCAAATCTTTAGTTAGACACAATATGGAAACAACTGCAATGGGTTGCATCTGCTTAGCCAGCAAAATTGAGGAAGCACCTAGGCGTATCAGGGATGTCATTAACATTTTTAATCACATAAAACAAGTATCCAGCCAAAAGTAAGTTGCTTCATTATTTTGGTTTTATGAATAATTAAGAACATAAAATTGAGGAACAGAGAAAGAATTAAAAGAATTCATTTTTGTTATTTATTTCAGAGCAATACAACCTGTAATTCTTGATCAGAATTATGTGGCTTTAAAGAACCAAGTGATCAAGTCAGAGAGAAGAGTGTTGAAAGAACTGGGTTTCTGCGTTCATGTAAAACATCCTCACAAGATTATAGTTATGTATTTGCAAGTGTTGGGATATGAGAAAAATCGCACGCTAATGCAGCAAAGCTGGAATTATATGAACGACTCATTGCGTTCTGACGTGTTTTTGCGCTATCAGCCAGAAACAGTGGCTTGTGCTTGTATTTATTTAGCCGCTCGTCAATTACAGCTGCCTCTACCAACGACACCCGCTTGGTTCTCGGTGTTTAGAGTCAGCGAATATGCAATCAGAGACGTATGTCGACGTATACTGCGTCTTTACTCACGACCGCGTGTACGACCCGAACAATTGGAAAAACGCGTCGAGGAATTGCGACGTCAGTATGAAGAGGCTAGAACCAAGGCGCGCGGTGGAGACATTGACGGGCATACACCGAGTCCACCGTTGCCAAAACATCACAACGCATGGGGTGGATTTATCAGTCGCAGCGGCACACATGCAGCCCCCGAAAGAACGAAATCACCCAGGTATAATAGTATTTTCACTCGAATAAAAACTCTAAATAAGAATAAATATATTCAATCCATAATAAGCAAAATGGTTCATATCTCTAATCATGCATCACATCTCACATTCATTAAATTTGGTATATGTACCATACATAGTGCAAGACAATTATGTTGAGAGATTCGTATTAGTATACTTCATAATAGTATACTTCATAATAGTGTACTTTCTTCATGTAATTATACAGTTGTTATAGTAAGAGTTTCATGCTATCTTTTTCTAATTTGATTTGTAAAAATCAACAATGCGATCAATATATTCATAAAATTTTATATTGAATTTTTCAACATGGATGTTTATAAATGAGAAAAAAAACCTTGTCATTGATACACTTTTAAATATCTTTTGATGTATTTCAGACGCTCAAAATCTCCAAGTACTTCCCCATCACGAGGCGAAGAAACAAAGTATTCAAATAAGCGAAAAAGGCATAGCAGAAGTAGATCCCGAAGTCACAGTCATAGTAGATCTAGCAAACCCAAAAAGACTCAACGAAGGCGATCAGGTAGCCACAAGTCATCACGAAGATCGCGTAGTTATAGATCACGAAGTCGATCTCGGGATAGGGATTTGGAGAAATCAAGCAAACATCGTAGTAAACGTAGTAGACGACTACACTAAATACTAATGTATAGTCAGCACTTTTACATTATGTTGTGAGATATCATAGGCTTAATTTACATCGTGCTCTTAATACGGGTACTAACTAGTAACTTTATATTGAATTATCTTAATTTCGGCGATATATGTAAACATATACATGATATGTGTATTTAATTAACATTTTGATACGTATTGTATCAATTTAATGCATCATTGAATACATCGCTGAAATAAAAATAATTTGATAGAAAGTTACTAGTTAGTATCTGTATCAAGTGCATGATGTAAAGTAGGTCATAATTTAAATATCACTATTGTAATAAATTTATAATATACAGCAGAAGTCTTTATCAAGCCTACTGTAATTCTCTTAGTATATTTCAAAAAATTAATACTCGGTTTTTCGAGATTATCTTGAATTTTGCATAGTTGTTACCAATAATATATCATACATTGCATTTGCACAAGCTAGTTTAACATTTTCATTATTTATATATAGGAATATAATTTATATTAAAAATTATTAAATGAGACCGATAAAGGTTGTAATTTTTTTAAATACTAAAATGTGTAAAGCATCTTTTATGTTTTGCACGAGTTCATAGAAATTTATCTGGAAAAGAACAAAATATATTTAATATTCTATATATATTAACATGTACTTCTTTTTATAAATTTTTATAATATCTGACAGAGATCTATAAACAAATACATTTGATAGGCACAAAGAATATCAATGTTTATGATTCCACAAAAATTATAAGCCTCTTTCTTCATCTTGATCGCTTATTATTATTTACTATAAGATTAAATTTTAACAATTAGATATCGTTTTCAGAAGAACATTAATTTCATATGTAATTATGTTTCATATAAAGTTGTCATACCTCCAGTAACAAGTAACATGGTATACAATGTTACAAAAAAGTTATAGAAATAAAAATATTAGGAGAAAGTGTATATCAAAAAAAAGAGCATTTAATAGTATAAAAATAAATTTTATATTCGTATTCCAGGTTGTTGTATTATTTTAAAAAATCTTATGGGCAGCGCCTTTTTTTTTTCAGCAGCAATCACTGGTGAGAAATCTAAGACAAGTAACCGTGGGAGCAGATGTACGATGTAACCCCTGTAGCAAGGAATGTCTTCTATTGGATTACCGTGTAACGTTAACGACCTGAGATTTTGTAATTTCCTGAGCTTTAAAATATCTGTAATATTTGCGATTTTATTGCCGTGCAAGTAGAAAATCTTCAAGTTTGTAAACTTCTCTATTTCTTCTCCAATCTCGTTTATTTCATTGAAAGACAAATCCAACCAACTGAGATACACAGGATTATCAAGAACTCTATCCGCGAGATGTTGAAGACCTTCCATTGAGCTTAGTAGATTATTGCTCAGCCACAACGTACTGGTTATGTAATGATCCTTAAGTGTTCTTACCGGAGCTTTTCCGGTACGTATTACTTGTGCACGTTTCTCCATCAATTCTGTCAAAAGAAAAACAAAGAGATACATTTTTCTGTGAATGAGTTATTAACGCTCATAAGAGTCAGTTTGCGACCAAAAATTATCAATGTGCGCCATCAACTCGCAAAATAATAAATTAAAAAATGACAGTCTTTTAACTGATGTACCGTCCATGGTGGTAGCCTTTTTAAACGATAAATCTAACGGTGGGGCGATCAGCATTTCCTGCTGTTCGTTTCGTTTGTAATCCGAAATATGATTTTGAGGAGAATAATTAGTGCTCATTGCGGGTAATTGAACTTTATCTCTCTATTAAATCAGCAATCGTCACATCTATTACCTCGAGAAACATTTGAAGTTTGTATCGCGGCTTACCGAAAGTTTAATTTTAATTCGCTACTTCAGGATACCTATCATAGAACAAGTCGGAATCGATTCGGATCCGATCGGAATTATTCATTTATTCTCTAGATTTCTATTGTGTTTTATAGGAAAAACGGAATAATTCCGATCGGAATCCATTCCGACATATTTCATGATAAGTACCCTGTAACGGGATTCTCTAATGGCTCCTGCACATTGAACGCGGAAACGCTTGCCGCGCGGCAAAATGAGACGCGGTAACCAATGAACACATCAGGCTAGGTCCACAACCTTGCTTTAAGGCGTCGTCTACAATACACGGAGTAAGAAATAAGAGTAAGAAATTGACCAATCACAGTCGATTATTCTTCTCACATTCGACTGTAATTGGTCAATTTCTTACTCTTACTTCTTACTCCGTGTATTGTAGACGAGCCTTAAGAGGCCGTAAGTCCGGATCTACAATAGGTGTTTTATGCCTTATGCCGTAAGAAACTGACCAATTACAGTCGAATCCGAGAAGAATAAGCGACTGTGATTCGCCCATTTCTTATGGCTTAAGGCTTAAAACGCTATTGTAGATCCGGACTAAAGCTTTACGGCTTAGGGCTTTTTAAAGCGAGGTTGTGGACCCAGCCTTATAGGAGCTGTAAGCTTATTGGCTATTGCATCACATTTTGCCGCGCGGCAAGCGTTTCTGCGTCAGCATATATGTAATACTACTATATGGCTAATGGGGCGTGGTTTATATGAGTGCGACAAGAAGAAACATAGAAGGATAGTAGATGTTCAATCGTTCAAATGCGGAGGCGCCGCGTTAAATTCAAGAGCTTTATTAAGCAAAGTTACTTTGTATTTAATACAAAACAAGATGTTAGCAATAGTTTATTACTCTCTAAATCTGAACCAATGGATAATCACTGATATCAGTGTCAAGTATGCCATTGGTAATCAGTGGGTGAAATGTGAAATTCCTAACCTAGCTAACCTTTATTGTGTGATATAATTAATCTTATTTTAGTGGATAAATTCAATGAATATAGTATTAGAAAATTGAAATTAACATATAAATATCAATATTTTAGGATGTATAATGCTCAAACCTTTTTTTTAAATTGAACTTCACTGATTATCCAGTGCCAAATACGTCACTGGGTGATTAGTGAATAGTGGCATACTTGGTACTGATATCAGTGATTATCCACTGATTCAGATTTAGAGCGTATGTTATGAGAAGAATGGATATGTAAAAATATTGTTTTCCGTAAAATCTTTTCAAGTAATAAAGTTATATATTAATATAAATAAAACGTAACGAAGTGAATATGGAGAAATAAACGTTATTTAAACATTGTAGTAATACTTTTCTATTTTACTATATGTAATTTATTTGTAACGGCAGTTATACAAATTCCATACAAAAAATTGAGACATGGTAAAACAATTTGAATGTCGGATTCGGGTTTTCTCAGAACATAAAATACATAATACCATTTTACTCTATTCTCTGGATAAAACATTAAATTTTTTGTGTGAGTAATTAATAACGAGCTATTGATTCTTAAATAAAATCAATTTTGTGTATTTACTCCGTAAATATTCTGATTTTTCTGACATTTGCTTTGCTTCTGCAAATAAACGAATATCTAAATACAATGTTATAATTAATTTACAAAGTTGTGTTCTGTGATTATCCAAAGCATCTTGTAACATAATATGATCACGCATATTATGTTATCAAACGTTATCAAATGGAATCCCAATTTGTCGAAAAACATCATTAAGCAAAAATTGTTTAATGTTTTTGTTATTTAGACAATGCACATTTTGCCTTATAATCTTTTCAGCTGTTTTACAAATGAAATAAACATCTGATGCTGGTATCATATATGGTCCTTGGTTCTTTATGTTCGATAACAGTGGCATAGTATTGCCTAATAATTGTAATTTACAAGTAGAACAATCTATTTTTTTTTAACTTTGTTACACACGTAACCTTCTATATACAATACAACATTCTCCACAAACGGTGACAAATCCCAAAATGTTTTTACATAATCGTGAGCAAAATCCATCTTTAATTCATTGAAATTACTGGAATCACTAATGGGACATTTTAAGTTTTTGCTTGAGATATGCAAAATGTCGATATTGTCAAAAAGGCAGTTTTCTAATTCTTTTATTTCGTGTCTTATTAATAAACGCTTATATGCACTTTGAAAATTTAACGCATTTGGGTTATTGTTAAAACCGCCTCGGGTTCGTATGGCGCTGAAAAAGGCTTCTAAATAATCTTGTGACAATTTATAAGTTAATAGGTACGTTAATCCTACATTTTTTAATTCGTCATAAAGAGGAAACATATTTCTTAATCCAATGATCATACCAAGAAATCCCGTCTTCCTACCGCTTTTTAAAATAGGTGTTCCTGTGTTGTCGTACAATGTATTGATATAATTTTCAAATTGCTTGGCATGTTCTTGTAATTGAGAATAGTTTGATTCTGTCAAAGCAGTATTGTATTCACTTTTCGAAAACCTATTTTTACAGTTCAACATATCCATGATATTGTTGAACTGTAAACAATATTGAGAAGTCGGTAAGCAACCATTAAACTCTGTTTTAATAGTATTATCATGCAATGTTGTTACAAACTCTAATGACTTAGAAACACTCCTACTTAATGTTTGCATAGCTAATTTAACGTTCATACGATTGTTTGAATATTGAATGTGTTTCTTAATTAATTTGTTGGCTGCTTTAAGACCTTTTTGCTGAAGATTATATAATTTAACAATAAATTCCTACTTTATAACAAGATTATCTGCAGTTTTTAACACTCTTTTATCGCCAAGAATACTTCTGACCAATTTGATCATGTGACAAGGATCCAAAATAACGAAATATTTCTTCATTGTAACAGGATTCGTAAAATATGGTTTAAAATTAGATCCGTATTCAAAGTTCGCACCTAGATTAGTACACATACTAAAGTTACATATTGTACCATCAAATGTTACTGAAAAAACATGTGCCTGACTGTTGTGCAGCATTTCTAATGCTTGAGTCAGTAGATTAGTTCGTTCTGAGCCACACATTTAAAGAAGCAATTAAAAAATATCCAATAGGTACTTTCCAATTCTCGTTCATTAATACGGCCATGAACACTAACACCTGTCTTGCTTTTAATGCACAATCATTATCGTCATCTTTATTTGATATTCCGTAATCTATATCGCCATAAAATCTACCATGACGGTAGATTCTTTCTTCTCGTATAGACATTTCGTCCAAAACAAGATTTACTACGACAGGTTTCGAACCCT